ACAACGGGATTGAATTCCATGTCATGCTTGACTTTTTGGTTGGTTCCTGCTCAGTGTGTTGTCTCGAAACAATTTGGTTTTCTTTTTTTATGAGAAAATTTGATTAACTATACAATGTCCGCGATCTGTTCGATGAAATGTCTGAACGAGATTGGAACTTGTTTTCCTGTCGAGGAGATTATCGTTTTGTGTCTCGATCGTTGTCACTATTCTTTATTCCTTTGTTATACTTAAGTAATCGCAAATCATGGGTAATAAAGGTTATGTACTTATGTTGGTGATGTCAGATGGATGATCCTGCCCATTTGGAAATTTTCAACCATGATTGTTCTAAGGAACTTCGAGTGACCGCTGCTGATCTTGAGAGAAAGAATCCACAAGAATTCAACTTTTTCTTGGTTCTTGACTTAGAAGGAAAAGTTGAGATTCTTGAGTTTCCTGTTTTGATCGTCGACGCCAAAACCATGGAAGTCGTAGACTTGTTCCACAGGTTATAACAGTTTTTTTTCTTTTAATACACAATTTCTTGTAATGCTCAAAGGGTCTTCAAGTGTTTGAGTGGTTTAGTTTTTGTAAGTGTGTAGTTAAAGATGAGAAGAGCGGCTAGGAAATTTATGTTCTGTAGGAATTTCACAATGTTGTTGATTATTTCTTCTTTATACTTCTTAAGGTTTGTGAGACCTACCAAAATGAGCGAGCAAGCAATTAACAAATACATCGAAGGCAAGTACGGGGAACTCGGTGTTGATCGGTATGCTACTTCTATCTTACTTCTGAGTGTAGATATAGATACGGCTACAGTGCTTGTCATGTTTCCTTATTAGTTGCATTAATGTGATCATGTCTGCATATATTATCGAATGATATAGTCAATTATGTTCTGTACTATAAGATATGATAATGCCAAGAGTTGAGTTAGAGTTTCACAAACGTCTCCGAAAAAACCTTTTTTTTTGTTTTTCTGTTTGGATTCTGAGACCGTAGCACTAACGTTGTCAAAGTCGAATTGCAGCGTTTGGCATGACACAGCTATTCCATTTAAGCAAGTTATCGAGGAGTTTGAAGCCTGGTTAGCTGAGCATGGCTTGTGGGGTAAAGAAACAGATGGGGCTCTGAACGATGCAGCTTTTGTAACCTGGTGAGAATTATCATAAGAGTTACTTGTTATGTGAATCTTTGAGTTTCCTTACCGACAGAAACAGTTTGCAAAAATGTTCTCATAGATTGAATATTTCTTCATAGCTTCTGATTAATTTAGCTAATGTTATCAGTGGGAATTGGGATATAAAGACAAAGATCCCCGAGCAATGCATAGTGTCAAATATCAAGCTTCCGCCATATTTTATGGAGTGGATCAATCTCAAAGACGTCTACTTGAATTTCTACAACCGTGAGGTAAATTTGGATAAATCAAAATGCGTCATCATCCTATCGTATGTTATCATAAAATTATAAATAGTAGATGACATAACAGGCTAGAGGAATGGTGACAATGATGAGGCAATGTGGAATAAGACTCATGGGAAGTCACCATCTTGGCATTGATGACACAAAGAACATCACGAGGGTGGTGCAACGGATGCTCTCAGAGGGTGCAGTTCTCAAGCTTACCGCTCGAAGGACCAAACCCAATATGAGAAGCGTCGAGTTTCTGTTTAAGAACCGGATCAAGTAAGCTCTGAAGGGAAAATGACAACCCGAACAAGCTCTATGGTCCATAATTTACTCAGCCAAAGTCGTTTTTGTATTAAGATGAAACTCTTAAAAAGACAATGTGATGTGGTGATAAGGTTTTTGCAGATTCACAGGTTTAAGAGGTATGATAAGTATTATATAGATCTTGCGAAGACCACAACTCTCTGTAAGAATCTCTGATCCAAAATGTTTGGCGGCAATTTTTGGTAGGAAATTATAAGAATTCCAAAATAAAAAGAGGCCCATGAAAAGCCCAAATCTTGGCTCTATTAGCCTGTGTGCTGGTTCATGGGAAACTGAAACAAAACTTGAATACTATTGGTCCCTCAGTCAACATCTTCACTCTTCACTCATAACATAATTGCTTAAGAGAGCGAGCCTGTAATTACTAAACACACAAATTTTAGATTCGTGTTTCATTTAGACCAGATTTCACAGATGATTCTGAAGCAGCGCCAAAACCTTGTTAGAATCTTGCGTGTTTGTACAAAGAATGGGCTTTCTGATCAAGGGAGTCAAGTTCATTGCTTTCTTCTCAAGTGTGGATCGGGGTTGGATTTGATTACGAGCAATTTTCTCATCGACATGTATTGCAAATGCAGAGAACCATCCGTTGCCCATAAGGTGTTCGACAGTATGCCTGAGAGAAATGTTGTTTCATGGACCGCTCTCATCAGCGGACATGTATATAATGGTGACCTTAAGAAATCCTTATCTCTGTTGACTGAAATGGGACGTCAGGGTGTGTACCCAAATGAGTTCACTTTATCAACGAATCTGAAAGCTTGTGGTATACTTAACGCACTTGAAAAGGGATTGCAGATCCATGGGTTTTGTTTGAAGATTAGTTTAGAAATGATGGTTGAGGTGGGAAATTCTTTGGTTGACATGTACTCGAAATGTGGAAGAATCAAGGAAGCTGAGAAAGTGTTTCGTTGGATGGTGGATAAGAGTCTTATCAGCTGGAATGCGATGATAGCTGGATATGTACACGCGGGGTATGGTAATAGAGCTTTGGCTACCTTTCGGATGATGCAACTCAGAAAGATAAGGGTGATGCCAAACGTGTTCACATTGACTAGCTTGTTGAAGGCTTGTAGTAGCATTGGTGTGATTTATGGAGGGAAACAGATACATGGTTTTCTAGTCAGGAGTGGGTTCGATTGTTCAAGTTCCACAAAAATCACTGGTTCTCTTGTTGATTTGTATGTCAAGTGTGGAAACCTCTTTGATGCTCGAAAAGCTTTTGATCAAATGAAGGAAAAGACAATGATCTCATGGAGTTCATTGATTCTTGGATATGCTCAAGAGGGTGACTTTGTGGAAGCGATGGGTTTGTTTCGTCGACTACGGGAGCTAAACTCGCAGATTGAAAATTTTGTTCTTTCTAGCCTCATTGGAGTCTTTGCTGATTTTGCCCTCTTGCGACAAGGGAAGCAAATGCAAGCACTTGCTGTTAAACTCCCATCTGGATTAGAAACATCTGTTTTAAATTCAGTGGTGGACATGTATCTCAAGTGTGGATTAATTGATGAGGCTGAGAAATGCTTCGCCGAAATACAGTCAAGAGATGTGATATCCTGGACCATAATGATCACTGGCTACGGGAAGCATGGGCTTGGCCAAAAAGCAGTTAGTATTTTTAACAAAATGTTGAGTCATAACATTGAGCCTGATGACGTATGCTATGTAGCAGTACTCTCAGCTTGTAGCCATTCTGGTCTGATCAAAGAAGGCAAAGAACTTTTTTCGAAGTTATTAGAGACACAAGAAATCAAACCTAGAGTAGAACACTATGCATGTATTGTTGATCTATTAGGACGAGCTGGTCGTTTGGAGGAAGCTAAAAGTCTGATTGACACAATGCCGGTCAAAGCGAATGTCGGAATATGGCAAACACTTCTTAGCAGCTGTCGACTACATGGGGACATCAAACTAGGTGAAAAAGTAGGTAAGATTCTTTTGAACATGGATGGAAAAAATTCTGCAAATTATGTGATGATGTCCAACCTTTATGGGCAAGCTGGTTATTGGCACCAACGTGGGAAGGCACGAGAGCATGGTAGAATGAAAGGGTTGAAGAAAGAAGCTGGTATGAGCTGGGTGGAGATTGAGAGAGAGGTACATTTCTTCCATAGCGGAGAGGATTCACATCCCTTAACACTCAGTATTCGAGAAACTTTGAAGGAAGTTGAAAGAAGAATGAGAGAAGAATTGGGATATGTTTACGACCTGAAACAGGAGCTGCAAGATATAGACGATGAGTCAAAGGAGGAGAACCTTAGAGCTCACAGCGAGAAACTAGCGATTGGTCTGGCATTGGCATCTGGTGGTTTAAACCAGAAAGGAAATACGATAAGAGTGTTCAAGAATTTGAGGGTATGCATAGATTGTCATGAGTTCATCAAAGGGTTGTCTAAGATCATGAAAATAACTTTTGTTGTGAGAGATGCTGTTCGGTTTCACAGTTTTGAAGATGGCTGCTGTTCCTGTGGAGACTACTGGTGACTCTAAAGCTTAGTTACTT